TATATATATATATATATATGAAATAATGTATGTATATACATATTAGTAATAAAAATTATTTTAAGAATTCTTTGTTTTTATTCAAAAACATGAGTTGTTGAATTTTTGAGCTTTTTAATCTGCTTCTCCGGTCTGATATTAATTGTCCACTTTTCGAAAAAATTCGTTCTGAAGGAACTGAAGTAGTTAAAATTGATAAATATTTTCTTGCTAGTTCTGATAAATGTGGGTAAAGCAAAGCTCTCTGCTTCCACCATTCAAGTGGATTTGATTTTCGATCAACTAATGGCTCCTCTAAGTACATTCGTATCTCGATTATAGCTAAGGCTGTTGGAGTTTGAGTTTGACTACCCACCAAGGAGTCATCAAAATCTTGCCAAACTAAATCCTCGTCATCGTTTCTTGAAGTACTCCTGGATTCATTGCATAGCCTTTCATTCGATATACTCTTATTATTAATAAGAGCAGTTATTTCACTTTGAACTCTTTGTTTTATAGTTTGAAAGGCGATATCACTTGAAAAGGCTTTTTTTTTAAACCTGGGGTCCAGAAACGCTGCTGTCGCCATTAAGGAGTTGCCTTCCAAATTAACAAATCTGGTGGAAATAGAGTCCTTAAGTGTTTCAGCCATTTTTTTCCCTTCTATTGATGTTATTTCCTTAGAAAGTTTGGTTAAAACCGCATTCAATCCTCGTACAATATTAATTACTTTAGATAGAGTGACATTATTTTCTGAGCTCATTTCCGTCGTAATTTGTTCGAATGGTTTTAAAATATTTAAAATTTCTTTTATAATACAGCAATCATTTTCCGTTAGGGCCTCCAGTGGAATGCGTAAAATACCAATAGTAGCTGATATAGCTTCAGTTATTTTTATAATCCTATCGAACATATAATAGGTTGAATTCCACCTAGTTGGGCAATCATTTTTTAATTTTAAAACTGTTGAATTTAAGGACAACTTCTGTTGCGCTTGAAGTTTAGTAGTTTAGTTTTTTGATTTTAGTCTAATATGCTCAATATTTTTTAAGCCTTTTTGAATTATTAAATTTAATGTGTGAGCGAAGCATGGAACATGACACCATCCACACAAAGTAACAGCACGTATAATATTTGCTGCATTGTCTGTTGTTACAGCAAATATTTTATTAGTCAAACGCCATTCATCTATTATTCGCTGTAAGAATTACGTTTTGTAAAATAGCATTAAAACCAAAATTATTTGCCTTAATTATGTACCTTAATTTCTGCTGCCAAATTTTCTGAGGTATGCTGGAACCTACATTCCACGCAGCTAAGCAAACAGGAGTTAAATTTCCAATTTTGGGATATGAAATGTGCTGTCACAGCCAAATAGCTTTCATTAGCATTAGAAGTCCACATATGTGTTGTTAATGAAATAGTTTTAGCTTCTTGTAAGATATCTAATATTGATTCTTTCGCTTTATTATATTTTTCCATAAGAAAAGTTGTACTAAATGTTGTTCTTGATGGAAACATATAAGATGGTTCGAGACCCAACACGAGTTTACGAAAACCAGTGTCATTAATAATAGAAAATGGCTGTACATCTTCAACTATTACATCCAAAATTAAGTTGTTAATCTTTATTTGACGTGGGAGTGATAATGGTCGCATTACAAAACTTTCAAGAGAAGTTTGCGTTATTCTTGGTGCAGCCACCAAACCAGAGGTTGATGGAACTACCGTTGGTGAGTTAGTGCTGCTACTCCCTATATAGTAAATGAACTTGCTTTATCATAGTGAAACTATATATAAAATTTGCTTTACCTTCGCCAAGTACTTCATGGAAAGCAACTTCACGATTCCGTTTAACGGCGCTTAGGACCGTGGGATGCTTAATGTTTAAATGCTTTCTCAAATTTGAAGTAGAACCACCTTTTATTGAATAGTTTGTTCCACATAATCTGCATTTAGCTTTTTCACTTCCTACTGGTTCAAAATGAATCCAAATTTCACTTTTTTTATTATTAATATTTTCACACATTTTTAATAAATTTGAAAACGAACAAAATTTTTGAATAAAGTAGTTGTTATTAAACCGCGAAAACAGCTGTTGAAAGTAATCGTTACCAAATACTCAAAAGAGTAGGTAAAACGAATACTACTCATTGGTAAAATGAGTAAAAGTAACGAATACAATAAAAAGTTTGTATTCGTTACTCCGGTATTTCTTGAGTAACGAATACAAAGTAACGGATAATTACTTTTTTGGCACTACTACATCACAAGGCAATTTTGTAAACAAATAGCAGCTGATTAAGTTCAAACACATTGCCAATGATAATAAATAATAGATAGGATTATTTTAAAACGAAAATGAATAGCTTAAAATTTCTAAATTTCAAAACGACAATAAAATTCTGCAATGAGAGAAGTGCATTACTTCAGTCAATACGAAGAGGTGGGATGTTCAAGCGATCGCCTGCTTTAAAATTGCAAGCTGCTGCACTGCAGGATTTGTATACGAATTTTTTTGATAACCGAACTGAACTCAGCGTAGAGGAGTGGCAAGAAGCTAAACAAGCACTTGTAAATAATAACAAATATATATCATCAAATAACGTAGATGCTATGATGATTGGTTTATTTAAATACGGACACCAGCTTCCATTAGCCAAAGATTACTTGAAGTACTTGAAGAAGATCAATGTTGAACCCAATGTGGCAACACTCGGGCGACTCTTACGAGTTTACAATACAGCTTATCATGAACGAGGTGGTTCCATTGATTCGCTGACACCAGAAGAACAAAATGAAATTTTATCAATATATACACACTTCAGAAGCAAGCATGACGTGTTTGACACCACCACTTGTGAAAACCTTATACATGGGCTTGTGGCCACAGAGCGATTTGGCGACTGTAAGGAGTTGATTGAAATGGCGAAACTTACAGCAGTGCCAACGGTAGCAGCGTATTCCGAAGTAGCTGTCAAAGCTTTTAGCACAAATGATATGTCATATGGTTGGCAAATATTGGATGAGATGGTCACAGCGGGCAAGCAGCCAAGATGTGAAGTATTCATTGCTTACATTGAACAAATAACAAAGAATTCAGACAAGAGTTTCCAGCATGAATTTGAGAAATTGTTAGAGTTTTTTGGACAGCATGATATCATCATAAGTGAGAAAGTAGTTGATTACATCACGAGCCTAGAGAACAAAAATTTGCTTAGCATTACAAAATCTAAACTTAGCCGCTCGGGCAAATGTAGAAACTGCAATAATCAAATGGAAAATATTTCTGTCAGTGCTGCAGATTTTGCTAAGCTTAGTAATTCGTTTTTAAATAAAGTTCTGATTAGAAATGATGTTTTTCAAAAATCGACGCCTCAGGAAGTTGACAGATTTAAAGCATTCGTTGCCGAAACCGCACCGTACGATTGTGTCATTGACGGACTCAATGTTGCATACTCAATGGGTATCAAGAAATCCCCGGCTATGTTGGCTAACTTGGTAGGGTGTTTTATGTAGTTTTTATATTATTTTTAAATGAATTATATTTTGTTAGGTTACTAATGTGGTGAAATATTTCAGTAGCCAAAACAAGCATGTCCTGATACTAGGCCGAAAGCATATGCAGAATTGGTCAAAGACATCCTGGAATTACATATACAAAAATGCTAGTGTGTTTCTAACAAATAATCTGTAAGTCTTTCTTTTCTATTTGTTAAGCGGTATTTTTATAGATGCCGTAATTGTGATTTACAAAATCTCTAAACAATATATGCCAATGGCAGCATGAGGTTGAGTCCGATAGATGATATACTTTTTGGTGCCCTGATTGAAATTAAATATATATTTAATTTTATATATTTATTTATATATTTAATTATATATATATATATATTATGTTTGTAAATATTGGTATCCACCTAATTTGTTTTTATGCCGGGCCTTAGGTAGTTTTTTGTATTATATTATTTTAAATAATTTAAAAAAGTTTTTGTTGAATTAAAAAAGTATCAACAACACTGAAGATAGACCGAAATTAACAAATAAGATTAATGTTTTTATTTGCAAATTTTTTATATTATTTAAATTTAATGTGAAACAAATGACCTAAACTCCTGCAAAAAACATAAATATATAGTATATATTTGTATATAATATATAGTACATATATATTTGTATAAAATATATAGTATATATTTGTATAAAATATAGTATATATTTGTCAAAAATATATAGCATATATTTGTAAAAAATGTATAGTATATATTTGTAAAAAATATATAGCATATATTTGTAAAAAATGTAAAGTATATATTTGTAATAAATGTATAGTATATATTTGTAAAAAATTTATATTATATATTTGTCAAAAATATATAGTTCATATTTGTCAAAAATATATAGTATATATTTGTAAAATGTATAGCATATATTTGTATAAAATATATAGTATATATTTGTATAAAATATATAATATATATTTGTAAAAAATGTATAATATATATTTGTAAAGAATGTATGGTAATATATTTTATATGTTTGTATAATATATACAGTAATATATAGTATATATTAGCAAACATAAATAGTAATGTATAGTATATATTTGTATAAAATATATGGCATATATTTGAGTGCATTGTCACTCGATTGAAAATAAAATTTTTAGTTTGAAAATATGTAGAAATTAAATAAAATATATATTTTATATAAATGTATATAATATATTTAAAGTATTTATTTAATTATATATTTATGTATAATTATAATTTTATATTCAATCGAGTGACAGTACATCCAAATAATCGTCATAAGTGGTCTTCGAAAACATCTATGGGTTTAATTGTTCATATACAATTTTTAGACTACAAATGTCAGGATTTAAACCCTTTCAAATTTGAATCGTGATGTATTTTTCTATGCGAAGTACAATTCAATACGACATAAAAATTAGAACGTAGCCTAGAAGATATGAATAAATAAAATAATACAGATGATAAACGTAAGAGAGTGCTTATCGGAATTTGCACTTTCCTACAAGCAAGGGGCAAAAAAATTTAAGCTTAAACTTCAAATATATCATTATCTCTCTAACTCGGTTATTGCTTGAAATGAAGAATAAAGCCGCAAATAAAATGGGATCCAATCAAAAGCTTGATTTTCTAATTACAGAATGATTATTTGATGAAATGAGAATTAAAAATACGCAGGACACTATAGCATACTTAAAAATGTTTAATATATTTCACAGAAGGTCTACTATCAGATAAGTCAAGCAAATCTGATAAAACTATTTTTGTCAGACATAACGTTTATATTTAAAGCTCCAAAATATAAAACTAGGTTTAGTTTTGAATTTATTTAGAAATAAGCTTACTTAAGATGTCGTACAGACTACTAAAATTTCCAAGTGCATTTCAAGCAAAAATTGCTGCTGATATATTTTAAGGAAGATATATAGTAGAAACTAATATATGATTATTTATTGAAGGTCAAGTATTAATTATATTTATATTCTTAATATATCAACCATACTATATCCATATCCAGGATATAGTGACTGTTACTGAGCAATTGCCATGTACTATGTAAATTATTTCTTTAAGTATTCATATACCAATCAGTACGGTTCTTTTCCCAAGAAACCAGTAATTAGTTGTTGCAATGAGACCACAAATAGAGTTACTTTTGGAAACTAATTAACTTGGGTACGAGGGAAAACGGTATTACTATATCCTTTGTAATTGGTCATTGTCTAATAGAAAGTTACACACAAAGATCAAGCTGCCATCTATTGTAAATATGTTCCGGAGCAGTGATACAATTCTTGAAAGTTCATTTTAGACGATCTCGAATTAAAAACTGCTATCGAAAGCCTTATAAAATTCTCAAACAAAATCAATTGATTAAAGTGCTGTAGGTAGTTATTGACTAAGAAATACACGCATCGTAGAAACCAAATCAATCGTTAGAAAGCAAGAAATCATTTTATAAAATCGTTGCCAGATTAAGAAGCCAGACCCATACACGATGTATGTGGGATCTGCAATGTCCCTAAATATTGATTAAGTTTATATACCATACACTAGATGATGTCAAATTTAAAATGTATTTAATTGTACTAGCTACTAATGAAACTGAATATAAAATTTGAAATTTTAGGTCTGTTCCACAAGCTACCCGTAGTAAAACTCAAGTAAAACACAATTAAAGTACAAACTGAGAGCGTAACACAAATAAACTGTCAAATTACGCTCTTTACACAGAATTCCATGGAATATCTTTGTGTAAAGTCAGGTGAAAACATCAGTGCCGCGCAAATAAACAATACAAAAATTTAAATTCAAACCAAAACAGCTGATTCGCACATCAACACAAATTTTACTTGAAATAAAATGTGCGAGTAAAGTTTGTGTAGCATTTTCAAATTTCGTCAGCGATGTTATGCTCTCTCAGATAGTTAGGTTAGGCGAAATGGTGGAACGCACTTGTGTATACACTGTGTTGCTCAAAGTTACCCGTGGAACAGACCTATTTATAAATTTTAAATTCTAAAACTAAAGTTCACTATTCTTTTTGATTTATATATGCAGATAATGCTTATTTGGAGATGTTAACAGTCTATGTTAATATAAATACATGCGTACGTGCGTTTGCTAATACTTCAAACTTTGTTAACTTGTTCCTTCCTAGTATTGTTCTTCAATAGTACATATTGCAGTAGTCCCACGTTTGGGAATGTAATCACTCTCTTTTCTTTTCTTTATTCTTGTACTAGATTTTTATGTACATCTGATCAAAATCACTTCTTATGAACTTCTTTCTTCTTTTTATTTTTGTATAAGATTTTTATGCACAGTGTATCTCTTCATAATCACTTCTTATGAAATCCTGTCTTATCTATTATTTTGACCTTATTGACATCTGCTACATGTTTTGTTTTCAGGATGTATTGGTTTAATTTTGTTGCCTCTCTACCTGTTTTTTTGTTATGTGTTCCTTCGTGCGTTACCTGTTGTCAGGAACAGTCTCTACGCTTGACCTGATATACACATGGATTTGTTGTTTATGTTTTGTTATTTATGTTCTTGTTGTAAATATTATATATAACAAACATAAATATAAAATAATATAAATTATTGTTGATTATTTAGTTGAATTGAAAAGATATTATAAAGCGTTTTTAAAATTAATCGTATCATTGTGTATTATTAGTTTGTGTAGTAAACATAAAAATAAAATAAAGCGGCAACTCTGTAAGAATACTACTTGACAGCTGATTGAAGAACGGCACTTTATGTTGTTTAGTTTTTTTTG